CTGCAAGTGCAGGCGAAACATCTGCGCCCTCAGCAGTCGCAGGCGCAGCTGGCGCCGTGCAGCGAGCGCGCGTTTGGCGCGGATTTGCGCGGGCGTGGAGCGGCAGGCACAACTTCGGACGTTGGCTGGCACTGGCTGGAAGCTGCTGGCTAGTACAAGGTGCCCTACATGGTTTGCACAGGCAAGCGCGGATGTGCAACCAATTGCTGGCTGGTATGGCGTGTCCAGAAACGTGCCGCAGCAACTATATGTCGGCTGCTACCATGCTTGTGCTGTGACCGTGGTTCCTCCTGCGCCTGGGCGCGCCCGTGCGCCTAGTGCCCCATGAGATATAGCCAGGGCCCTAAGAGCATGTCGTGCTGGGATGGCAGAAGCATGCAACCCTGGGGGGGGGGGGGCCTCCAACGCCGAATATGCGACCCTGCGGCTGAAGAAACCGCCGAGGACCAGCGCCCTGTGCACCATGGCCTTGGCTTTATGGACTCCCTGCGATACCGCCGTGCAGGGGGGGGGGCCCGCGCCTGGCGCAATGGCTGCGTCCGCGCCGCAGCAAGGCATGCAGATCGTCCAAGTCGAGGGCGGTTCACACCGAGGCAAGCACCTCATGCGTGTGCAAATATGATGTGGCATGCAACCTGCCAGCGCTGGCAAACTGTAGAACACAACAAGCCAAAGAGGAGTCCAGGTAGTATGCGCCGCTTGCCGCGCGGGCCAAGCGAAGTCGAAGCGTGCTGCCCCCGTGGTCGGGGACAGTGCAACTGTGCAAAGCATGGCGGCCGGCAACGTGCGATGATTTCTGTCCCACCCGAAACCCCAGGTGCGGCGAACCCCGACGCCCTCGATAGCCAGCCTCGCCTCCGCCTCGTCCTCTTCCTCCCCATCCTCCCCTGGGTCCTGCTTCTCCTCTTCCTCCTCCTCCTCCTCCTCCTCCTCCTCGTCGTCCGCCTCCTCCCGCGCTCAACCTTAGGCGCCGCAGAGTCTATGGCGCTTTAGCCGTGACGAGCGTGGCCAGGACGCACCTTGACGACGACGGCGACGGCAACGGCGACAGTAGCCCATGGGGGCGGCAACGAGCCCGCAAAGGCCCTGAGCCCAGGCCCGAGCCGAGCCTGCGCACGGGCAACTTGCTGGCTTTCTGGCGCTGGGCGTGGCATTTGGTGGGCAGCGAATTAGACAGAGCGCGACCGGGCGGCGCGCGCAGGATGAGGAAGGTCCTAGCCGAGCTGGTGAGGGGGCCCTCCCGCCAAGCACCGAAGGCGGCCGTGCCGTATCATGCCAGGGGAGCGGCGCAGCTGGTGCAGGACTAGAGGGCGGCCCGCGCCTAATCGCGCGGGCACTGCCGCACGGCTGGGGCCCATTGCTATCCGAGGGCGTTGCTTGGGCCAAGAGGGAAACGCGTGACAGACAGGGGCCGCATCAGTCACAACAGTGTCGCACGAACGAGCGCGGATGAAGGACAGCGAAAACAACAACTCGGTATCTAACACGGTAAAGCATTTGATCAAATGGAAGGTGCAACGACAGGCATGCGGATGGCACGTAGGCTAGCACTGCTGGCGAGGACGTCGGCAATAGCATCACGCACTGTTCCTCCGACGCACCAGTGAGTCCAACTTGCGGGACAAAATGGGGGTCACCCTTTCAGCGAATTGGCTTTCTTGTGAAGCAACAAGGCAAATCTGAAACGTCCGTAGGCGGCAAGCCAAGCCATACGGCGTGTGTATAAGCTGCCGAAGCCGACCAAAATAATTGCGGCAGGGAAAACGACATGGCGGGCACCAACGACCGGAAAAGATGGAGATGCGGCTGTGTAGCCTGGCGACACCAGCCGCAAGAAGCTCTGGAACCAAGTGAAGGCGAATCGCGAAGACTGCCAACCAGTCAAAGAAACACGCCAGAGAGGGGGACCAGAAAGGGCTAGGAGCGGGAAGCGGAGTGAGAGGTGGCTGGGACGTCCGGCGATCCTGGCTGCGCACCTGTCCTTGGCGAGGCCAAACTGCTGGTCCCCCACTGCTGCACGCATGTCCGCATGGAAGATCTTGGCCGCACTGCGCCCCACCATCCGCCAGCCGTCCGAACGCCAGCGCCACAGGCCTGTGCACCGCGGTGGGCGAGGCCGCCGAGGAGGGTCTCAGCATCACGCGGACGTGCCGGCATTGGCACCGCTGGCGCAGTCGTTGGTGTTGCGCTGGCACGGGCGTTGACGCTGCTGGCACGGGCTGCCTGGTGTTGGCACAGGCTGGCGTAAGCATCCGACACAGGCTGGCGACCTGCGTAGGCGCTGGTTAGCACTGGCGCGTTGCCCTGGCTAGCACCGATCGCGCTGCTGGCGCGTTGGCTGGTCCAGACTGGCTGGCACTGACGTCAGGCATTGGCTGGATGGCACTGTCGTCGTTCACAAGCTTGCGTCTGGCACAGGCTGGCACTGGCGTCCCACACAGGCCAGGCCCCTGAGGCCTCGCGATGGTTCAAGAGAGCCCGAAGAGGAGCCGACGAGGGCGCCCATATTGAGAACCCCGTCTGCTGAGCCATGGGGTCCAAGGTCGCCCTAAACGCCCCAAGAAGGCCCAGCAGGGCTCCAAGGGGAGACCAAAGTGTCCTACAGAAGGCCCCCCAAATGGCTCCAAGACGCCTCAGGGGCTCCAACATCGGAGCGCCAATTGGTGCTCCGAAACAAGATCTGTCCTTCAAACGAGCATTCTACCGGAATCCGTCTCCTTTCTGCTCCTCCTCGTCCTTCTCCTCCTCCTCTTCATCCCCTCCCTTCCAAGATGGCTCCTGAACCCTACACGAAGCTCCCAAAACAAATGACGTGTGCATCGGTTCTGGATGGGCTGGTGGGATACGCGACGCGTCAAGCAATCTGCTCGCCAATTTTCGGCGTCTGGGGACTGTTTGGGTGGAACCTCAGAGTTCGAGAATCGAGGTCCTTGGTAATTTCAAATCCTTTCCGCCTGTGGAGGCTTCCAGGCGCCACCGTGGACCCGTGGACCTCCTAGTGTCCTAGGAGCAAGAATGAAAACAAATAACAGCGAAGGAAGAAACGCAACTCATGACATTCTTTCGAAGATGCTAAGGGGGAATGGAAAGGGACAACCACGGAAGGCAGGGGCAGGGATGTGTTTGGGGACAGGGGCGGGAAACGGGGTGGGAAAATAATGACAAGGACAACGCAGGATGAGAAATACGAACGATATAGCGAATAATCGGAAGGAGTGAGGGGGATGCAGGAAGGCGGGCATGTACGAACGGATATAGGAGTACTTTTGAAATCATGGAAAGGAAGAGAGACAGGATGGAGAAGGAAAGCCTGGAGGATGAATAACACATGGAGGCAGAAAGATGAACAGAAGAGGAGACGCGCGCCGAAATCTTCATTTGATTTGTGCAAGCGCGTCACGCAGCCGAGGCGCTTCGCCGGATGGGAGGCACATCACCTTCAACCCCACAGGTGCGATGCCCACTCGATGCCTCTGCTGCATGTTTTCATGTCTGCATGCTTGTCAATCTGCCCGCCTGTTTGTATCTCTTCTTCCGTCCGTCGGTACACTCATCATCTCACTGCTGTCCGCTTGGCCCCGACTTTGAATGTGCGTGATTCAAGCAACTCAGCTCTCTACCCGTCTATCAGCGCATGAAGCGATTTGGCTTTCCTGCCAACTCTGGGCACCGTGCACCCACAAATGTTACTTTCGCCGCCTTCCGTCGAACTTCCGCCGGCCGACCCGCCGCCGTTTTACTTCCGCCTGCCTTCTGTAGGCTTTTGCCGGAAACGAGATTCGCCGAAAGCGAAGCCCTGTCCGGAGAGTTCCATCTATCTCGCTATCTACGTTTTAGCCTCGATGCCCGTACACCGTACAATCACATGCTTCCAAGGTCCGAGCATCTAACTACACTTATAGCCGCGCGTTCACATGCAAATGCATACAGACTTCAACCCGCCGGCATGCGGATATGCGCATCATCCACCACGCCATCTGGTCACAGAGTCAGAGATGCTTCCCTTCCTCCCCCTCCTAGAGAAAGGCGGGGATGGAGGAGGGAGGCGGGAGGAGGAGCGCGCACGTAGTTACCACCGTCCGTCCGTTCCTTGCTCGCGGGCGCGGCAGCAGCGATCGACTGAGAAGAGGAGGCGGGAGGAGGAGGAGAACGAAGGGGAGGATGATGCTGACCACCGCAGCCACCCAGCTTTGCGTGTTGCGCTCCGCCGTGCGCGACGCGAGGTCACCTTCGCGCGTGTCGCCGCCCTGGAGATGTGCACCTTAGCGGCCCAGTCTGCGACGAGCGAAGCGAGATTATCTTCGCTCCCATGGGTGTGACCTAGATGCAGTCAAATGCTCTCGGCGGCGAGCGGGGGGGGGGAAATGAGGAGGAGGCTTTCTCAGAAGGCTCGGAAGTCCTCCTGCCCTCTGAGAAGTTGTCTAAGCCTTCCCCGAAAACGCAAAGAACATCTCAAAGGCGCGAGGGCTTCTGAGAAGTCCGCCGCCTTCTGAGAAGGCCTTCTCCTTCTCACTTCCTCCCCTCGCTCGCCGCCGATTCTCGCCTTATCGAAACCTTCGACCAAGAACCGACTCCCTTTCGGGCCCCACCAATGTCCAAGAGACACGAGCACCCCCCGGAGAACGATCTCGGGAGGACCGACGGAACACCGAGCCCCTCTCGAAACCAGAGCGGACCTATCCCCCAAGCATGCGATGTCACATATGTTTCTATACGCACCCTGGAAATCCCACCCTTTCCCCAAAACCGCTTCTTCATCACGGGTCGCTTTTTGACGGTCCCGGGGCCGGGTAAGGGCCCGCCTAGAATTGAGAAACGCCTCCGCCTGGAAGATTTGTTTCGAGTTGCACCGGATGTTTGAACATCGAAAAACATGTTTCCCACGATGCAGATGCCGTCGCAGTGTAAGTCGATATATATATATATATATATATATATATATTTATTTACTTATTTATTTATATATATATATATGTATATGTATATATATATATATATTGGCCAACTAGCTCCGCCCTGCGGCGTATTTATTACCCAGCTGTGAACACGCAATCATGGGGAAGCTGCATGCCTGGGCCCAAAGCTCTGAGTGCAACGGCGACGACAACGAGGCGACCTGTGGAGTCGGCCTTCTCCGCTGAAGCGAGGGGCGGGCCGACCGGCAGCGCCGGGAGCTGGTCGTAGTCGTCCATGGACACGCCCACCTGGGGAGGATACGTAGGGGGGGGAGGAGGAGGGCGAGCAGGAGGAGGAGGAGGAGGAGGAGGAGGAGGAGGAGGAGGAGGAGGAGGAGGAGGAGGAGGAGGAGGAGGAGGACAGGAGCGCGCGACCACTCCAACTCACCACGGCATGACTAGCACAGTAGCGTGAAACAGACGATCGCCCGCAAAGCAGGAACGCTACATGCGACGACCTGTCATAGACGAGCTCATGTGATGAACTGGTCGAATCCGCCGATCTGGCGCGTGAATTTTAAAAAACTACAGCAGCAGCCTGAGCTTCAGCTCTGCTGGGGGGGTGCCAGGGTGGCTCTGCCGAGAAAGGGGGGGGGGGTCCACCAGTTCCTGGGCCGCTCCTGCGCCGAAGGAAAAGGAGGAGGAGGAGGAGGAGGAGGAGGAGGGGAGGAGGAGGAGGAGGAGGAGGAGGAGGGGGATGGGGAGGAGGAGGAGGAGGGGGAGGAGAGAGGAGGAGGAGGAGGGAGGAGGAGGAGGAGGAGGAGGAGGAGGAGGAGTAGGAGGAGTAGGAGGAGGGGAGGAGGAGGAGGAGAGGAGGAGGAGGAGGAGGAGGAGGAGGAGGAGGAGGAGGAGGAGGAGGAGGAGGAGGAGGAGGAGGAGGACGAGGACGAGGAGGAGGAGGAGGACGAGGTGGGCAACGCCGCCAGGGCTGCCAAGACTGCCCAAGAGAGCTCTTGCACGCCCAAGATGGTCCCAAGACGGACCAAGAGGCCCCCGAGAGGCTCCAAGAGCACTACAGAGGATCCCCACGGGGGCCCCAAGAGGCACCACAAATCTATGTCTTGAAACTCTCGCCTTTTCGAGCTTCGGACGCTCCGAGACGGCCTAAGAGGCCCCCAAGACTGCCCCAAGACAACCCCAAAGGCCCACAAGATGACTCCAAGACGGTCCGGAAACGGCTCAAGAGGCGCCAAAGATGGCCCATGAAGGCCCTAGGACCCCCAAGAGGGCGAACATGAACCGAGGATTCGAGCCTTCCGCCCCAAGACGTCCCCAGGAAGCCACAAGAGGCCCCCGAGAAGCCCCAAGGAGCTCCCAAAAGGCCAACAAGATGCCCCAAGAGGCCCCCAAGAAGCCCAAAAGAGGCTGCCGAACGCCCCCCAAGAGGCCTCACTACTGCCTCCCAGAGGCCCCCGAGACGCTTCCTACGACATCCCAACGAACCTCCAAAAAGCCTTGGACCCACAACCCAGGCATGGTGGCGGGATGGGCCGAAGGCCACTAGATCCGCCGCCCCGTGTTGGCTTGCCACAGGGGTGCCCAGCGTGCTAGATCCTTTCGATTTTGGTTTTGGCTCTTTTCCAAGCGAACTCCCCCTGGGGCTTCGGCCGATCCCGCCAGGGGCCCGGAAAGGCCCCCAAAATCACCTCAACGACCGCAAAAGTCACGTTGGCCCGAGATAACCTCCAAGATGGCCTCCAAGTCGCCAAAGATGGTCCAAGATGGCTTCCAAGACGGCCCGAGAGAGTCCAAGATGCTTTCAAGTTCGTCCAAGAAGCCTACAAGACGGCCCAAGATGGCTCCGAGATGGTCTAAGACTGGCCAAGAGGCCCCCAAGAGGCCTTCAAGACGTCCTCCAGGAAGGCCCGAAAGGGCAAAGGATCTCGGCATTTTCTTCTTATCAGCTCTCCGACGGCCCAAGACGGCCCAAGAGGCCCCCAACATCGTCCCAAGAGCGCCCAAGAGGCCTCCACGATGGCCCCATGACAGGCCAAGAGGCCCCCAAGAGGGCCCCAACAAGACCCCACGACGGCCCAAGAAGCCCCCACGACGCCCAAGATGGCCTCCAAGATGGCCTCCAAGATGCCTCCAAGCCGGTCAAAAAGGCCTCCAAGACGGCGAAGATGGCCCCAATATGCACCCAAGACGGCCCCAGAAGGCCTGAAGATGACCTTAGACTGCCCGAAAGGCCCGCCAGAGGCCTCCAAGACGGCCCAAGACCCCTCCAAGACGTTCTCCAGGAGGCCCGCAAGCTCGGAAACCACCTGGTCCGATAGCTCGCCCGAATCCGTGTTCCCCGAAGGCTTTCGAAACCCACTCGGGGAACGCTGGGCCCGATAGCTTGGCCAAGCTCAAACCCAACTTCTGGCCACGCAGGCGCTTCCAAAAAGGCAGGGGGCGGCGGTGATTCGCCGTAAGCGTCTTCGATAAGAGACCACAGAAATGATGGGAAATAACAATACACGATGAAACATTCACGCTACGACCCGCTCAACCACTCACCAACGAGTCAACCCATCCGGGAACTAGCCCGCCAACAGACGTACGTACACGAGGCAAACATTCCGTTCGACACATACTGCCTAAGGCGACTGCCAACACCCTCTACCCCCTTCTCCTCCTCCTCCTCCTTTTCCGTCCCCTCCCCCTCCTCCTACTCCTCCTTCCTTATCCTCCCTCCTGCCTCCTCGATGTAAAGCTCACAAACTATGAAATGGCCCGAGTTCGCACTGAGCGTCCCGGAGGGTCTTGGATCGGCGGCACAAGCTGGAGGCCTCTACAATGACAAAACAAACTGCGTAAACACACTTTTCGGAAGGTCATGCGGATTTCTTGTGACAACGCTGGGTCCTCTGGCGCGCGGAGCGCGCCAGGGGCGGCGCCGGAGGCGCCGCTGGGAGGGCCCGACGCCGATCCAAGAAATCAGCGCGGACTTCCGAACAGTTCATGTCTATGCCGTTGTTTGTTCCTCTAGACGAGGGAGAATATGATGAGGGTGACGATGACGAACAGAAGGAGAATGATGAGGACGACGAGAAGGAGGATCATCGATTAGGATCGGGCAGCAGGAGGAGGAATAACTTGATACATGACGATGGTGATGATGATAACGAGGAGGAAAATGAGGAAGATCGGATCGGATCAGACTTGGGGAGTGCAAGAGTTCAACGCGTCTGACGGAAGCAAACCGTTCTGCTATTGCTCCGCCGAAATGAAGTTTGATGGGGGGGAGGCGGACGATGAGGATGACAAGGAGGAGGATGATGTTGAGGAGGAGGAGGGGGAAGAAGAGCAGGACGATGATGAGGACGACGAGGAATAGGACGAAGAGGATAAGAAAAAGTAGGACGACGATGAAGAGGAGGAAGGGGGAGGAGGGAAGATGACCGAGTATAAAATGCATTTGGAATGCATTCGGTCCAGTCGGTGAAGACGGCGACAGGGTGCCGATCACGTGGGACTAGTCAGGCTCAAACGCGTGTCCAACTCCGACAAGCAACCTGGGCCTCCATGCGTCCGCGAGCTGGAGCCATTCTTGCTCGGGAGCACTCCTCCTCCTCCTCCTCCTCCTCCTCCTGGTCCTCCTTCTCCTGGTACTCCTCCTCCTCCTCCTCCTCCTCCTCCTCCTCCTCCTCCTGGTCCTCCTTCTCCTGGTCCTCCTCCTCCTCCTCCTCCTCCTCCTCCTCCTCCTCCTCTCCTTCCTTCCTCCTGGTCCTCCTCCTCCTCCTCCTTCTCCTCTTCCTCCTCCTCCTCCTCCTCATGCTCCTCCTCCTCCTGGCACTCCTCCTCTTCCGAGCCTCCCAGAACACCCTCAACTTCACGGCTCGATCCGCCCGAAGTCATAGCCAGGCACGATTGTGAAGAAGGCGGAGGAAAGAGGATGAGGAGGATGAGGAGGAGGAGGATGAGAAGGAGGAGGAGGAGGAGAAGGAGGAGGAGGAAGAAGAGGAGGAGGAGGGATGAGGAGAATGAGGAGGAGAAGAAGGAGAAGGAGGAGGAGGGAGAGGAGGGGGGGAGGGAGGGAGGGAGGGAGGGAGGGAGGAAGGAAGGAGGACGATGACGGCGACGACGGCGACGACGAAGAGGCGGCGGACGACAGGATGAGGAGGAAGAGGAGGAGGAAGAGGAGGAGGCGGAGGAGGAGGAGGAGAGCGTGGGCGTTTTTTTGGGTGAGTGTCCGAATCCTTAGCATTCGAAGTGGTGTATGTTGCTTTTTCGATCCCCTGGGGGCTCTGGGAAGCTGCTGGTTGCCACACCTGGATCCGCCTCGAAATTCTGGCCATAATGCATTCCTGGGCCAGTTTTGAAGGAGGAGGGATGGCAGAGGATAATGATGATGGTGACGATGATGATGATGATGCTGCTGCTGATGATGATGATAATGTCGATGAGGATGATGATGATGATGATGATGATGATGATGATGATGATGATGATGATGATGATGATGATGATGATGATGATGATGCTGATGCTGATGCCGATGATTCTGATACAAATGGTGATGACGATGATGATGCTGCTGATGCTGATACTGATGATGATGATGATGAGGAGGAGAAAGAGGAGGAGGATGAGCAGACGGATACCCGTCCAGGGGGACGGGTGGGGCAGCAGGAACACGAGGGAGGGACGGGACAGGCAAATGAAACGCAGGCACACAAGCATGGCGGGATAGCGGGCACGATGGAGTGAAGGAAAGAAGTTACGATACTAAAGCCAGGATTAGATACTACTCACCTGGCAAGGTTGGCGTCTTTCGTGCTAGCATCATCGATGGCAACGGACTGATTGCGACAATGATTGGCATTGCAACTCGGTTTCAATGAATGTACCGGGCGTGAATTCAAGCATGATGCTCAGCTTCAGTTTCGTAGTCCAAAGTTAGCTCGTGGAGTGAACAATGCCGCCAGCTGGATACGACGTCCAGAAGTGCGCTTCCATTCACAATTGAGGCCTGTCGAGGGTTTGTTATACCAAAGCATCGAACGTGGATCTCGCCACCTCAAATGCTAATCTGGCCTGCTGTAAGAATACTGCGCGCTGCGATTCCTAACTGGACCTCTTGCCTCGGCGTTGATACAATCTGGTTCCGCGACAGAAGCCCTTGATCGAGCTCACCACCAGAAGGTCAGCCATCTCCACATCCAAGCCATGATGGGCGAACTGTTTGGTATGGTATGCATCTTTGAAGCAACCGGTGCACCCGAATGGGCTCATGTTCGAAAGCAGTGCGTGTGCTGCACCCA